GAGATGGAAAGGTGGAGATTTGGAGAGGACTACTGAAAAAAGGAGAGAAGCAAATCCAATAGGATATGGCAGGGAGGTTGGTGAGCAGGAGGGCAGAGCTCCTCATCCCCCCCCCCTCCACTCATAGATTTATAATGTCACAAGTGGACCTGTAATAAAACATGATAGTATATCTTCATCTCCTAGTGGGTGTGTTTAAGGTTTCTGCCATGCAGCCATACCCTGCTCCAGGATACTCCATTCCTCAGCTAACACAAACTCCACACAGTTACTGACTTTGCTCCATGCTCATGGAACTAATTTTGTGCATGTGCATTTCTTGACTCCCTTTGTTTTATATTGTTCAAAATATTTCCTTCTGTCCTCCTGTATAACTTAGGGTTCTGTCAAGCACACCAATATGCCCCTCTTTTCTCTCAGTCGCCAGAGCTGTTGGCATCTGCTGTCTGAGGGGGCAGACAGGGAGCCAAATAGGGAGCAATTGCCAGCACAGGCTGAAGTGGTCATTCTGAAGTAAATATCCCACTCCTGCCTAATGCACTGTGCTTTGGGGCTGGGAAGTGAAAAAAGCAGAACCAGCAAAAAGACATGCCTCTCAGTGAGATGGCTTCCCGTTTCACCAATGGAATGAATTGTGGGTATGGCTGTGGCCTGTGCCAGCTCAGACAGAAATATGCCTGGAAATCTATCAAAGCGACATCTGAGAGCTTCAGGAAACGACACACCAGATTATTATTGCCAAAGATATAATCCCCCTAGTGGGTCCTTTGCATGTTTGCACCCTGGTGTAATGTTTAGAATTGGCCAACAGCAGCTGCCAGGAGCAGGGAGCAGAAGCATGGAAACTCAGTGCAATGGCAACCACTTTTCCGTGGGCAAGCCATTCCAACAGTAACAGCAGGGTGTGTGCATGTGCCCAAGTCAAAGTTGCCACAGGAATGTTATTGATGGCATAACATGCAATGCAGCCCTTAGCGTGGCTTTGAAAAGTTTCCACATACATTTCTGTTGGAGTGAATATAGGCCCACAGCCATGCTGACAATGCACTCCACTGGCAGGGCTGAAAGCCATCTTGAGCTGCAAGAGTTTCCCTCTATACAGAGTGGCATGCCCCCTTTTCTGATATGACTTTTCTGACTTCTATAACCTTTGCTCAAATGATAGGCTAGCCTCCATCCCTGCATATGTTTCCCTTTTTCTTTCATACAGCTGCCCTGCAAAATAGACTTCTCAGTGTCAACACAGAGGAAACTTTGGCCTGCAAAAGGAATAATTTCAGCAGATTTTGCCTCTAAAGAGCTAAAAAACACATCTTTGCTCCATTCTGTGCATCTGTTTCTTACAGAAGCTCGTTTCTTACAGAAAATGGCAACCTTATTCCAGAACCCCAATATTCTATTGTTCCCCACAATGCCAGCCACTGAAAGAAATTACAGATTCTGCAAACCCTGCAATGTTTAGTTGTTAGAATGAAGAAAGTTGTGCAAATGGATGCAGAAGACCTCCAGTCTACATTTGGAGATATGTGTTGTGAAGAGAGAAATCTTGATGTTCCACTTACAGAAGGCGCCTTCCATGGAACAGTATAATAGTATTTTAGAACTTGAGCTGTATTTCCATTTTGTTCTCCATACTTATCAAAGGATTGTGTAGCTAATGGGTGGGGGAAATCTGAATGCTGAAACTTACATAAGCGCTCAACTGGTCCATCTAGCTGAGTACTTTTGATTGACAGTTCTCCAGATTCTCAGGCAGCTCTGCTACTCAGAACCCTTTACTAACTGGAGATAGAAAGGGCTGAACCCAGTGTTTTTTGAATGCAAAGCATATGATCTACTACTGGGATCCACTCCTATCACTTCTCTCTTTAATGATATAGAACTCCTTTCACTAGCAGGTATGTCCTAATAGCTTTTAAAAATAGAATTACACTTTATTTAAAAGCGTACTCTCCTAAAAATAGAAGGACCGGATTCAACAACTGACAAATATGTGATGTGGAATGATTGAACACTTGCCCACAGCTCGTTTTGTTCATTTCTTAGCAGTGCAAGGGGGGGGGGGATTGGAAATGGATTCTTATTCAAAGCTGGGAGGTTCCATTTATTTCTGCCAGTTCAGATGTCCCAATCTTGGCATCTGTTAAGAATATACACTCAGTGTTATTTATAATTCATCATGTACAATTTAGGATACCAAGCACTGCATGAAAACAGCCGCAGATGGTAAATGGCCAGTTTTTAATGCTGCCCACTGTATATGTCTGCGCCATCTGTGCCATAGTGTGTGCCAATGAAGCTGAGAAGACTGATGCAAATTATTTCCAGGAAACAGAAAATTAATTAATTATTGCAACAGATTAAAAGGGACACTTAACAAGGACATCAAGGGCTGTGTCTACAATGCAGTGTTTAGCCATGGCTTTATGTTAAAACAAGACCAGTTTGGTATGGAATGACGCTGCACTCAGAGTGCTTTTAAAATAATAATTGTAAAAGTGCTTTGCAAATGCCAAAGAGTAGTAGCAGGCCTAAACTTAAGTACTCAACTTTAGGAAGAAGCTCTCAAACTATGGCCTGTCACATTTGAAGCACTACGATAGTCATGGCTTTCCCCAAAGAATTATGGGAGCTGTGGTAATAATCACAACCCTATATTCTTACTGGAATAAATGCTTGCATCCTAAGGAACGGCTTGGATTCAGAGTAGATCTTTTGCAAACAAAGATACTCCTTCCATTTGTGTAAGGGCAGTCCATGGAAGGGTTTTTTTATTTAGCAGATTCCCCTTCTGTGCAGCCTCCTATACTGTTCAGATGATACTCAAAAGCAATTCTTCCAAAGGCAGGTAAGAGAAAAATCAGAAAAAAAATGCCTTCCCCACTCTTCTGTGAGTAGGAAGATTCTATGAACTCTGTTCACAATAGTCAAACTAAATGTCTCTAAAAGCTTTCTCATTTTGTTGCTAAAGTCTGTGCTACCCTAGTCCTCTAAGCAAAATCAGACTCTTTGTAAAGAGTTTCTGCTCAAATGATCCCATTTCTTTGATCTAAAGTGCAGTTACTATGTTTGATTCAAGGCTGCATTCCATAACTCCCCCTACCACACCCAATCATTATTGTTCCATCAACAAAGCTTCATTTCAAAAGCTTGCTATTTTTCAGATTCTAGCTCACACGATGAGAGGCATCATCTCATCTTCTTTGCTCAAGAGATACTGATAAAGCTACTAATGCTCTAGTCTCTCAAATAAGATCACAATCTGAAGGTGTGGAAGCATTTTGAAGCAGTAAGCATTTCAAAAAGGTGCCAAGTGGGAAATTGTTACACAGGCTACTAAGCATTTGTATGTGTGCTCACTCAACCACTTTGACCTGCAGAACTGATGCATTTACAAGTGCTGCATGCTTACTCCACAGTCCATCAACCTTTCAGTGTGGCAGCACTTACACTCTGCCCATTGACATTAGGCAAGCACCTTTACGGTTTCCAGAGCCTGCTAATGGTATACAAATTCTATTAAATAAATAAAGTACTCTCAGTGCTACAGACACTTTGCACTCTTTAGAATCAGTTCCCCAAATAAAATGTTTTATTGCTAACATTCCAATCAGAATGCTAGTCTTTAAACTGTAATCACCAAGCAGAAGCTGAAAAACTGGCGCTGATGTTGTTGTAGGTCAGTGTTGAGTGCACTCTCATTTCATGATTGGCATTAAAGAAATGAAACTTTTAAGAAGATCAGTGTACTGTCAATGAGGAAGAAGAGGGCTTCATGGGCAGGTTGTACTAAAGACAGATTCAAACTTTATCTTGAACCCTCCAAAATAGAAACCTGTCCCATATATGAAAACCATAGAATCTGATTATAAAACATGTCCTGTCAACACTGCACCCTTTAAACACTATTTTTATTCTTAAATCAGTTTGCAGCAACCTGGGAAGTAAGAAAGGCCAAAAACTACATACAACTTACAAATGCTAGTAGTATAATCCAAATTTTATAGGAAGATTGTTTAAAATGACACAAGCAGCCTTACAGGGTATAATATTTTTGTGTCAAGCTTGCTTCCTACATACAGTGGACCCTCGGTTTACGTTACCTTTGGGTAACATAATTTTTGGGTTGGGAACTCGGCATACCTGGAAGTGGGTTTGCTGCTCATGCGTGCACAGAAGCGCTCTGCAGCGCTGTGAGCGTGTGCAGAAGTGGTCCTACGGTTACAAAATTTTCAGGATATGGCCAAGTCTCCAGAACGGATCCCGTTCGTAACCGGAGGTATCACTGTATTAATGTTTACTTCTCTGGTGAGTTCTCAACTGTTACCACCTAAGATGCATTTGGATGGTGGGGCAGGGGTGCAGAAAAGAGGAAGAATTGCAAGAGACGTAATGGGAAGATGGTTTGACATACAACCCTGTAGTTCTTCATTCACTAAAAGCCTGTACAACCTGAGCTACATAGCCAAACACAACCTGCCAGCCAGGGTCAACACTCTGCTGTCAGTTTTGAACTGCAAGAATAGGATTCTCAAGCACTTGACTATTATATATTGATAGAGGGAGTGGTATATTGATAGTGGCATGTTTTTCTAGTTGGTGGGTCATTCTTTGATATTCTGTATCACTGATAGTACTGAATAGAGCATTTAATTTCAAAATATCAAAAATTGTTAGTGATAACTATGCTGCTCTCCCCTTAAGATTCTCTTAGGTTACTATACCTTTTTTTACTGAATACTTGAACATAACTCTGTAGTTTAATTAGTGTGCTATAATTCCAAACATGATTTTCACAAGTAATCTCCTAGTAGTTATCCATGCAAAGTAACCTCTCAACACAACATTCATTGTTTGCCCCAACAAAGTTATACAAAAAGCATTCTTTGTAAACTATCCAATGTAGTTCAGTGCAATTTCAACCTTCACTATATTTCTTCATAATAGTCTTACCAGCATGACATTTATGTGTTTTCTAGGCAATGATGGACAAGACGGCCGAGTACATTTTTTTTAATAAAGATATAATTACAAAAAGGGGTAAAATCAGTTCAGGAAAAGGCAAATTTTAATAGATCATTTAGACGTCTAACATAATAGCACATCCATTTTGAATACTATTACTTAAAGCCTGGCGGAAGGAACAAAATTTTGCATCATAATTAGAAAACTCACAATACAACTTGCCAAAAACAAAAACACAGTTGTTTGAAAATAAATACGCTCCATGCCAAATAGTACAAAATGAAAATCAAGAGTCTCTTCTCATATGAAAAGTTCCTTTTAACTTTCCCCCCCACTTTTGTATTGTGTCCTTTAATTGATGTGAGTCTCTACATTCAAGGATTGTTGAGCTGTTCTGACTTTGTGCTGTTTAGAGGAGGGAAAAAGTCAACTGTTAACATGGGTCACAATTTAATGCCATTCTCTGCTCATTTAAAAACAGTAAGGGTTGCATTGCTCACATTATAAATTCTTTAATAGCTACTGGCACTGATTTATTGTCATCCATAATGGATAACAGATGCATAAATAACATTTCAAAGTTAATGGCTGTTCTGAAACAGGCACATTATAGGATGGCCACAATTTACTTACCCTTTGGTATCTGCTTTCTCACCACTGCTATCCTTGGATTTATCTTCCTCTTTAATGTCTAAAAATAATTAAAAGTGGCAGGTTTATATAAATAAATTTCAAATGACAACTGTTGACTTAGCTGTTAACAAATTACAATGAAAATGAACACTGACAGAAGAATTTGAATGAAGCAGCACCTTGGCCAGGGCTGATTTCTTCTTCTTTCAAAACAGGTGTGTGGAATCTTTGGCCCCACCACATGCTGCTGAACTACAACTACTGGCCATGCTGGCTGAGGCTGATGGGAGTTGTAGTTTAGCAACACCTGGAAGGTGAAAGGTTTTAATCAAATTTAAAAAGGGTTAAAGTAGAGATATTCTCAGAAAGATAAACATTCCAACCAACAGCCTAATCCAGAAATGCACAACTTAGATTCAAACTAAAGGAAAACCAACAGTTATGGACCATGGCATGTGAGCTGCTTTATGTCTCAACTGTTTTTGCAGAAGGATGAATACAGTGGTACCTTGGTTCCCAAATGGCTTAGTTGTTGAACAAATCAGCTCCCAAATGCCACAAACCTGGAAGTAAGTGTTCTGGTTTGCGAACGTTTTTTAGAAGCTGAACGTCTAATCAGACTCCCGGAACAAGTTCGAAAACCAAGGTACCACTGTATAACAAATATGGGTAGTTTGCCACCATAAATTAAGTAGGTCTGACCTAATCTCAACAATATTTAGTTGGAAGCAAATCCCATTACTTTCAGGAGAATATGATATGCTTAGGAATATAGCCAACAAGGAAAGTAAAAGAAAGAAAAATACTGATTTAGACTTTTACCTGCTTTTTTATCTTCTGTTTCTTTTTTGTCTTCTTCTAGTCGGGCTTTCTTTGCTCCTTTCTTATGATCTGCAACATTTCTGCGTCCACCTTCCCCTTCATCTTCAGAATCAGAAAATTCTTCATCACAGGCTATTCGCTTATCTGATGCACGAACTAGAAGTAAGGAAATAGGATTAGAAAACACATTCCTCCAAGATCACCTTCTTGTGTGTTCCATTTCTCTCACCATGGGAAGGCATAAAATAAATAAAAGTTATTTTGTGACAACAACTCTTCCCTGCAATTTGCATCAGTAAAGGAAGTCCTGATGCACTGATCATAACCATAATGAAAACTTTCCATATGACAGCAATGTTGTATTTAGAAAGAAATTCTACACTACAGTGAGTGGGTGGGGAATGAACTCATAATGGGGTTGCAGTTTCAACAGTGTATTGGTGATAAGTGCAATGTGTACTCTAGCTCTTATTCAGGCCTGGGGCAAAATTTGCCGCTTATTAGCCAAAAGATGCAGTAGAAATAGCATGTTTTACTGACATGAAATTTCAACATATAAGCATCATCAGTCCTCGTTCACAGGCAAACAGGTTATAAAGTCCAAAGTAGAAGTTACTATTGCAAAATGGCACCTGCAGCGTCCACCTGACTCAGTTATTCCCTTCCTGGAAACTAAGTAAAAACCAGAATTTCTAGGCCAATTCAAATGTCTCGTGATTTTATTGAACTGGTACAATATGTAAGGCCTGTGTATCTAATTTGTGCCCTTAAACAGGCACAAGGCAAAAATTTGCTGAAGGAGAAGGGGAGGCAATTTTTGCCAATTCCCCCTCCACCCTGCAGCCACCAGTCCCCACTTCCCAAATCTGCTCTAAAGAGTCCCCAATACTCCAGAATCATTTTTAGTAGGACTGGGGACTATAGGGAAAATAGGCAAAAATCATATTCTCTGTCTTATGCTAGCAGAAACCTCTGCTAGGAGAACTAATTTAAAAAGCTTGGTGTAAAATTTAAGAACTATGCCAAAAATGGCACAGCAAATTGTATAAGTTCATATGATTTCAAGATTGGCTTTAAAAATTAAGCAGCTTCCCCTTGGTTGCCAGTTGTGTTTATTTCCCAGGCTTTCTGCCTTCATGTTCTGATATGTAATTGCTGTCTTCCTCAGAAAGCACTTAAAGCGAATTTGTTTCTGGATGGTCACTTTAGATGTCCATCTCACTTATTGGGGCACTTCTGCTCCACCTTCTTTAGTACTTCTTCTTCAACAATCCACCCAGTATTAATGTTAGCCCATTCTTACTAGAAATACGTTTGTCTGGATCTTCACCATCTTCATCACCACTGTCTTCATGAACAGCATCTTCAGGAATAGCCTGCATCTGTACACCTGGGGCATGGGGCAACATGCGCAAGTTCTCAAACAAACGCTGTCTGCAAGGCAAGTAATCCAGGGAAAAGTTGTTATGAGACAACTTTCTTCTTAATAGCTTGGGAGTTTCTTAGTTCTCGTCCTCATAAAAATACCCAGCTGCCTAGTAATGGTAGGAAAATAAGGTGAAAAGCAAGTTACATAGCAAGAGGACTAGGGGCAATTTTCTTGAAAAAGGCAAGCCATGGTATCCAAAGGAAATACATGTGCCAGACAGAACATCTATGGTTAGAGGTGAACACATTTAAAAAAATCTCAGAACATATGGCTGGCATTCAACATAATGAAATTAAGCAATATATAGTGATACTTTGATCATGTTTTGTGCATTTCTGCTGACAAAAGAGCTTACTGAGACTTAATAGCTCTTTTGCAAAAATAAAAAATGATTTTAACAATGTGTACCAAATTTTGAAAGATGAAAAGGTTTTTCTTTTCCAACCATTAAGCACTGAGAGCTGTAGCCATCTAAGCCATGCTCAGAGTAGATCTAATGAAATCAAACTTAAGTCTATTAATATTAATGGGTCTACTCTGAGTATGACTTAGTTGGATGCAACCCTGAAACATTAAAATACAGGTTTGGGTTTTTCCAACCATGTCCCTCCAGCAACAGAAGATAATTTGATCAAGCAAAGGCTTCCATCAGAAGAATGAGGTTTGGGGGTTTTTCTGCTTTTTCCCTGCCCCAGAAATCCATTCCAGAAGGTTGCTCTAGCTTTTAGAACGACATGGGAGGTGGCACAGGAGGCCACAGGGAGGAGGGAGAACTGGTGAAAAGTGCTTCTCCCCCTTCCATTGACAGAAGCATTCACTGACCAGAGAGCCTTTCTTCAACAGAGGGACACTAACTGAATACAGTCTTTGACTTTCTAGTTTCACCTGCTGGCTTTTAAAGCAGTAATTCTGCTATCTCAAGAGCCCAGGACCTTTTAACCCCTCCCTTTCCCTGCTTCATATTGAGCATAAAAAAGAAAATGGATCCTTACCCATTGCAAAGATTTAGATCGTTATAGTATTTATGTGTCTTTATGGAATTAATACTCACTTAATCTTCTCCATATATTCTGGGGTGTTCTGGTTTGTCATATTTGAAGGGCTAATATGCAGCTTGAAATCTGGTCCAAAATACTCAAAGTAGTCATTGTATGGCAATTCTGTTAAAACAAAATCAAGTAATAATAGCTTATTAAAACAGCCTTATTGCTCTTCAGATTATAGTGGTCAGATATGATAGTATGCATAGCTTTTGTTTTCTTCTACTAAATACTGAAAAGAGAACAAATTCAAAGGAATGCAATGCAGCATATGACAGTTCTCAAATATTTAATAGAAATTCAAAATTATTTTCTGATCCAGAATAAATACATTAGGAAGTATCTGAATTCTAAGGAAGAAAGAATATTTTTTCAAGACTAAATGTGCTACAGTTATCTTCTATAGCAGAAATCTAGATGCTCCACCGTGGTATAAAAATGAAGCCTCATTTGTTTCTGTGATTGTAAGTTGCTTTAAACTGTTTTAAATAATGTGTGCTGGTTTTTGGAACCCACGTGGGATCTTAAGGTGAAAGGTGGGTAATTAGTAACAACAACAACAACAACAACAACAACAACAACAACAACAACAACAACAACAACAACAACAACTTACTGGCATATTTCACACACCACGAATTATGTTGAAGAAATCTGGTGTTTATGAATGTAAAGTTTAAATGATTGTATGGTTTGAATGAAATAGAGGAAACAAGCTCAACTTTAGGTTGTCATGAAACTAGGCTTTGCTTCCTCAAAGTAGACAACAATCAGTAAGCCATAAATAAATCTTCACTTTCTGGATGTGGTTGTTTGGAGAGAAACCCAGGGTTCACATGTCATTACAATCCAGACTCTGACTTGCTTCTTCCCTTGCACAGCACAATCAGGAGCTGGGAGGAGCAAAGCTCTTGCGCATTTTAAACCATAGCTTATTTAAACAATAGTTTAAAATAAAATATACTATGTTGAAAATAACGCACTGTGTTTAATAAAACACACCAAATACACTTACTCATTTATACAATCTATAAAAGGTCCATGCAGATTTCTATGCATCTCATTAATGCTTTCTAAAACATCTGTGTTCACCCATCTAGGTAAGCCATTTGAAGCTACCAAGAGTCTGGTTAATGAGCCAGAAACCACATGAGTCAAGACAGATACAGTAGTGCCCCGCAAGACGAACGCCTCGCAAGACAAAAAACTCGCTAGACGAAAGGTTTTTTTCGTCCGCAATTTGCCTCGCAAGACGAATTCCCCTATGGGCTTGCTTCGCAAAACGAAGCTTGCCCCGGGGACAGCGGGTCTTCTCTTTTGAAGCAAGGGGCTGGGGGGAGATAGCGATCTCCCTGCAGCCCCTTGCTGCAAAAGACGTCCGGGGGAAGCGGGGAAGCGAAGCGCTTCGCTTCCCCGCTTCCCCCGGACCTCTTCTGAAGCAAGGGGCTGGGGGGAGATAGCGATCTCCCTGCAGCCCCTTGCTGCAAAAGACGTCGGGGGAAGCGGGGAAGCGAAGCGCTTCGCTTCCCCGCTTCCCCCTGACGTCTTTTGCAGCTGTTCCGAAGTGGGGCGGGGGGGCGGGGTCACCTGCCCCAGCCGCCCCACTTCGGAAAGCTGTTCCGAAGCGGGGAGGGGGGGCGGGGACATCTGCCCCAGCCGCCCCACTTCGGAAAGCTGTTCCAGGAACAGCTCCATAGGAACCTCCATAGGCGCCCGTCACCTCTCCAGCCAGGAGAGCGCGCGCGGGGCTAAACCAGCCCCCCGCGACCCTCTCCCAGCTGGAGAAGTGACGCGCGCCTATGGCAGGAGCCTCCATAGGCGCCCGTCACCTCTCCAGCCGGGGAGAGCGCGCGCGGGGCTAAACCAGCCCCCCGCGACCCTCTCCCAGCTGGAGAAGTGACGCGCGCCTATGGCAGGAGCCTCCATAGGCGCCCGTCACCTCTCCAGCCAGGAGAGCGCGCGCGGGGCTAAACCAGCCCCCCGCGACCCTCTCCCAGCTGGAGTTGTGACGCGCGCATATGGCAGGAACCTCCATAGGCGCCCGTCACCTCTCCAGCCGGGAGAGCGCGCGCGGGGCTAAAGAAACCATAGCCCCGCGACCCTCTCCCAGCTGGAGAAGTGACGCGTGACTATGGCAGCAGCCTCTGAAGGATGCACCGAAGCCTGGCGTGGGGGGGGGGGGCGGAGAGACCTTCTCCCCGCGCCAGCCTTCGGATGGCTGTCCTGAAGACTTGGGGTGGGAGAAGGGTTTTCCTTCCCACCGCCAACATTCAGAATGCTGTTCTGAATGTTGGCGGTGGGGAGGAAAAACCCTCCTCCCACGCAAGCCCCGGGAACAGAGGGAAAGCGCTGCGCGCCTTCCCCTCTGTTCCCGTACCTGTGCTGAAGGCTTGCGGTGGGGAGAAAAGCCCTTCTCCGCACCGCCAGCCTGGCAAGCGGTTTCCCTAGGAACGCATTAATTGATTTTCAATGCATTCCTATGGGAAACCGTGCTTCGCAAGACGAAAAATTCGCTAGACGACAAAAATTGCGGAACGAATTAATTTCGTCTTGCGGGGCACCACTGTATCCCGCTTCTTAATGATTCAACCATTAGCAAAATCCCCTGTAGATCAAAGAATGGTTATGCTGTAAGTCTTTTCTGTCAGTCTCCAATCCTCTGTAGCAGGTTGGTATAGGCTCTATGGCAAGATACATTGTACTGCAATACATATTATTTGCAGTTACACAATACAAACAGTTGGCAATCTCCCTGGCCACTGAAATGGGGGATCTGATGACTAAGGCAAGCTAAAGTTTAAGTCACATGTTATTCTTCATATGGCTCCTAAAACCCATTCTCCCAATGAACCACTTCATGAGGGACTTTGTGGACCACTTAATGATTTTTCTGCCTGTTGTAGCAATTGTAATACACTGCACTATGTAATGTATGACTTTTCATGTATTTTTACAGACATGCTCTAGACCACTTGAATGAAGCTCATGGACCAGTTTGGGAAGCCCTGGTTCCAAATATTTACCATTAGGGATTTCGCAATCTAAGGCAACAGCAGTCTCATAGGTCCAACATCGAGCAACGTTCCGTATGGTATATCCACCTCCTCCAAGCATCAGAAGAGGCAAGTTGAAAGTCTTCACAACTTCTACACATTTAGCATGTCCTTTAAAAACAAACAAACCATAAAGACATACAGTTATATTCATTTCAAGATTACACAATTAAGATCTGTATACAGAAACATCAGCTCTAGAAAAACAAACTTAAACACAACTGAAAGATGCAAGAACTTAAAAACAGAATAGGATAAGGTATCCTATCAATTTTGGAATCCAGTCTTCTGTTTTGCATTTATGGCATTGAGTTACACAAGGTTTTTTTTTTTGCAAGATTCATAAAGGCAAACGGATGCACACTCAGTTTAATAGTTCGTGCAATCTATTCATAAAGTGAATGCATTTAATATATTACTGATCTAATTATAGTAAAGTATTGACCATATTGTATCTCACACATTATGCCATATTTAATAGCTTATTCACATAAACATCACTGAATTTCTACATGTGATGTCTGCCTACTAAGACCTAAACTTATTTCCTAAAATCACACAAAACTGAAGCACTGCAAATAAAGACATTGACATGGAACATATTTTTCGCATCTTCCTTTAGATGTACTATGGCCAAAAGGGTGCATACTTGACAGTCACCAGTGTGTTTGTGTGTGGCGGGGGGGGGGGAGAGTCCCAGCATTAGAAATGGCTGCAAGAGTCCCAACATTACAGATGGTGGCCAGAGAGATGGCTGCAAGAGAACTGATACTCAAAAAAACATTTCTACTAAATCTGCGTTCAGTACTTGTTTCAAAACATATGTAACTGTGACTCTACAGGAATGTTTTGCTCTCTGACCTTTGACGGTAAGGTTAAAACATCCCAGCCTGTCACCAGACAGTGAATCTGCCCCACACTGCAACACCACAGCACTAGGTTGGTACATCTCCATGACTTTGGAAATAATCTGTAAAGAAGCAGAAATCATGGTAAATCTATTATTCAGCCTCACAGAAGCATCTCTTAAAAAAAGGATCTAGAATATACTCACTGGCTTAAATATCTGACCATATGACTCATCATCTATTCCATCTCTCATTGGAAAGTTGACAGCATAGTATTTGCCTTTTCCAGCACCTATGTCCTATAAGAGAACACAAACAAGACAAAAACAAAAATCACAAACTCATATCAAAAGGCAAAACACATTTTGTGTTTACCACTGGACCACTTGTGGCCAAGAGTGTTTGAAAGTAGTTTAGATGCTACCTAGACATTTGAAAAATTCTGAGTATGTAATGAATACCAAAACTGCACATATAAGAAGTGTGCCAGATATTTATTATTAAATTTATCTCACCCTTTCTCCCAAAGCAGCCCAGGTAAGCAAACAATACTTCACGTTTAATCTTCAGATAAAGCATTAAATCTTCAGATAAAACATTTGATCAGTGCAGTAGAAGAAATCAGTGCACAAGGAAGTATATCCAAAAGAACAGAAGGATGACATGTGAAAATACAGAAGAATCAGACCCAAAAGTATAATTTGGATTTTATGACTTTATTGAAATTCACCAAAGTATGGTTTTAGAATCATTGCAGGGGTTTAAATAGGGTATCACCAAGAGTGGGGATGGCATAAAACAGAAACATATGGGTAGATCGGCTTTAAAAGACAACCAGTTACCTGGGGATGGGGAGTAATGTCATGGGTCTGCTGTGTCAGATCCGTAAAATCACATGTTATTATATCTACGAGAAATGTGCCACAATTCACTAAGTGAAACACATGGAGTTTATTCCTTTTTGTACCTGCTTCAACATTCATGATTTACAAACGGAATAAAAGACCTTTGACGTCTGTTTAGTACATCAGTAGATAAAAAGACATTTTGTTTCCAGTTTGACTATATTCTTCATATTTACTAATAGGAAGTTAATGTTGTTCTAGAGGGGAACCACAATTATTGTACCTTAAGGATAAATGATTATTTTGTGACAGAAGCTTTCATGGTCCACTTCAAGTGCATGAAGTTTTATACAGTTTAGCTCCAAGAATTGTGCAGGTACAGGGCAACAGTCTTCTTTGTTTTTTGAGTTACTGTAGCAGTTCCTTCAGTACAAGCTTTATATATGTAAACAGTAGCAGATTTTTAAAGCGATACAATGAAAATGTTTCTTATGGAAACAACCTCTTTCCAGAAGAGTCAAATCTTAAAGTGAGGAGCTCTAATTTGTTATGGAGTCACTTTTTATTACCATGTGTCCTTCCTTACTATTTCATAAGAAGCAAAACTGTGTGATGCATCCAGGCTCAATACCTCAAGGACCACCTTTTTCCATATGAACCTACCTGGACCCTGGGATCATCACCTGAGGACCTTCTTTGTGTGCCTTCTTGCCATGAGGCTGGCAACACGAGGCAGGCCTTTACTGCAGTGGCTCCCCATTTGTGGAATGTGCTCCCTGGCTGGCACTATCATTATACACCTTTAGGTGGCAGGTGAAAATGCTCCTCTTCAACCAGGCCTTTGGCTGATGAACATCTTATATACCCCTTTTAAATGTGTTTATTATTTGTTTGTGGTTGCTGCTTTTTGTTCTTATTTTATTATGTATTTTGTGTTTTTATATTGTATTTTTATGTTGTGAACCACCCTGAGATCTTTGGATGAAGGGCAGTATGCAAATTTAATAAAAAACAAACAAAATGCTATTAAGAGAATCTCATACAATGGTTTTATCTAGATACAGCTGAATTAACACGCAGTGCTCTTAGCATACATTGGAACATACACAAAAGGCATGTAAGCAACTTAAGTTTACTATGTTGTATTATACAGTACATTTTTATAGTTATTATATTATATATTGAATGATAGGCAGCACACCCACCATGCTCTAAGTAAGCAAAATAAAAAAGTCTCAGAAAATATGGGAAGCAAACAAATATATTCCTGTTTAGCTGAGATATTAATGTCAAAATTAACTGAATTTGCTTTCTGGACAGATTATTAAGGATATCAGAAGATTAGGTTTAATAGGAAATTAAACTTTCATGTATTTGACAGGTGAGAAGCCTAGTTTAAGGTCAGTGCTTCTGCTCTTTGGAGGCCTGCATTTAGCATGAAGCAACAGTACCATCTTGTGGCCAATCAGGTTGAGATATAAAAAGCTGTCTCCAAGCTAGCACATTTAATTTCTGTTGAAAAAAGGAACAAATACCACAGCTAGGAACAACAGAAATGGGTACCATGGATTATATTATGCATAAGAATTTTTAATGAACATCTTCGTGTGCTCATGCAAATGCAAGCATCTCTACTACAGTAATGTTCTAGATAAGCTTCAACTATGATTACTGGTGATTTTTAAATGGCATTTTAGTAACTATTAGCAAGCTGGGCAGTTTTTTCCAGCTATTTTGACGTTTTGTATACCTATCTTACTCATCATTGATATGCTTGAAAGTATTTTTGCCCACTCCCAGAATGGTTTATAGATCAAAATAAAATGACGCAGGCTTACAATCTAAAGAGCACAAAAAGGTAAAAGAGATGGGAGAGGAAGAAAGAAACTCAGATCTACTCTTGAAGATACAGTTTTTAGATTAGAAAAATGGATGTCAGATATAAAATGACAAGAAAAAAGTAACCCTAGTTACCAAAACTGCCATTCATTCTAATGTTGCAGTACTATGCCACTCAGGGGCAACACACATTGTTTACATAATAGCCCAATGAGTGTAGGAAACAATACTGTAATTAAGATGAAAAAATACACCATATATAGAATCGGACTCATCAAGTTAAGAGTTAGCCTTTTTCACCCTGATCAATTCAAAGTGTCCTTCTTCAGAAGGAAGGATAAAAACTAATTAAATTAAAATTGTTAACTTGATAACCAGGCTTAAATATAGCATTTGCAAGATGCTACTTTAATCAAATGGTAACCTCATATTTGAACTTACTCTCAAATCGCCTGTGCCAGGGAAATATTCACCATATTTATGGAATGATACTGTCATTACACGATCAGTTGTGTAAAATGCTTCTTCAACGCCATCACCGTGATGGATATCAATATCAATGTACAATACTCTTTGGTGGTATCTGGAGGGAGAGGGGAGGAAGAGAGAGACTTTACTTGAGCAGTACCAATAAAACTCACTACTTACCTTTCAAAAAGTTTATCTGCTGCCAGATTTATCCCCAGACTAAATCAGATATATAAAGACGCATGACTACATGTATACAGATCTGTTCTCCCTTTTCCAATATAATGCTTAAAACTATGTGTATCATGACACAATATCAAGAACCAGGAAGGGCACTGTGTATAGCCATACTGACAGCTCATTAATAAACATAAAATTATCTGCAAATTACACTTGTTTAGCTCCCAGAGAGGGACCAAATTAGGGCGCCTTTGCTACACCAGCCTACAGCCCATGCAGCAACCATGTCCCCCCAGAAACCCCCAAAGCCTGAATCCCCTCACTTTTTGCCCTGGGCAAGGCTTCAGATGGAACAATAACTCTGCTGCTTTATTTGGTTCTGATGCTTGCTCTCCAGCCAGAGTCTGAATTGATCAGTAAGCTATTTAGAACAAAAAGGGTTTTGCGATTTATATCATGCTTGCACGCATACACAAACACATATATAAACAAAATATAATTTAAAATGACCAAGGAACAATGATCGCTAGTCCTCTGGTCAATATATACAGATTAAGCAAATACACAGCCTATATTTTTAACATCTCTAGAAGACAAGTTGTGCATATAGCACCAACATGAACTTACTTTAGTAATTCCAGAATGGCAAGCACAATATCATTGACATAGCAGAAACCTGATGCTTCTGACTTCTTAGCATGATGAAGTCCTCCAGCCCAATTAACGGCCATGTCTGTTTGTTGTCTGTTTAATTTTACTGCTCCAGCTAAAGAACCATTATGGAGAAAAATGCAGGTAAGGAATGAAAAAGGTAGACAGTATGTCTTGCCAAAAAAAAAAGAAAAGAGAGAAAGAGAGAGAGAGCTTCAATGTAAGACATCGTGGTGCAGCCTGGATTTTAATTGTTTATTGTTAGGCACTTCTACAGTTGGATATACCAACTCATGCAGCAGAATGAACTATTAATTTGTAATGGGAGATGCTGAAAGATAAAAGGCCCAACTAGTCCAGCATTCTGTTCTCACATTGACTAACCAGATGTCTAGAGGAAGCAGAGAAGCAGGACATGAGTGCATTAAACTTCTCTAACTCATGATCCCCAGCTACTGGCATTCAGAGGCACACAGACTCTGATACTGGAGGTAGTACATATCTATCATGCCTAGTAGCTACTGATAACAACATTTTCTTTTAATTAAACATTTCACTTTATATTTCTATTAAATTCTTTCTCCCTCATTGATTTCCGCAAGAGCTATAAAAGTTGTCACATGGGTAATGTTCGGGGGAAAACTGGTACAGCCTTTTAAAAATTAGCAGCTCCAGGAAAACATTAGGACATACTTACCCACAGAGCCTCCTGTTGACAGCTGACAGAATTCAAACAGCCCATCAAACACAGGACAGTCTTCCCCCACGTTAACTATACAAGACAAGTTTTATTTATCCTTAAATGTATTATTACTTAAGTTACTTAAGTAATCTTTTTTTTTTTTTAAAGTATAGCATGTTGGTCAATTGACTAAACATTGTCAAATGTTCCATGAAAAAAGAACACCTCTTCATTGGTAGCATTATCTCAAATGTGGCCACACCATAGGTTACAATACCTTTTACAAAACTGATTTCACTGTTTGTTAATCAGTCAAGCTGCTGATGTTGAATCTATGTGCATTGTTCTAAAAAAATAATAATGCTAAATGTCTATTACTTGACCAGTGATATGGATCAAATAATTTTTGATCCGTTAAATGCCCAACACTATCTTTAAAATGAAAACCAAAACTTTAGAACAGAGGTATTTTTCAAAACTTAACCTAACCATTACCACAGATGTGAAACTTGGTAGACACCTTTTTTTGTCAGTTAAGTATATTTAAATATGCTTTTATGGATTCAGAGCAGTTTGTAGCTGAGTGTATGCCTAAATTTACAGCATCACTATATGTCAAATTATGGCTTATGAAGTTTCAGCAAAAGGACAATTACCAATTACCAATTAAGGTACTATAGGTGGTTTAAAGTGAGCAAATAGTTATCCAACTAGTAAAATACAATTCTCTTGCAAGTTATGCTGTCATTCAGAATTCATAATGGAAATCAATGTTCAGAAATCAAAGAAAGTACAAGTTAATTGAAAAGATAAATATTACAGTTTTTTGTCATGCTATCTAATGTTCTCAATTTTGGGATGGAAAATTACACTAGTTTAATTTAATACATGTGGCAAACCTGTTACTATGGTCCAATTCAGATATATAGCTTTGAAACTAGAGAATGAAATTAGAAGCTGATTTCCACCTCTGGTGTAAAAGCTAACTATGGTTAGCAGTAACTATCCCCTAAGAAGAAAAGGGAGACATGTGCAACTCCTAGAGAAAGAATCATGTGCAATATGACTCAGTTATCAAACTATGGTTTGGTAACTGGGCAGCATTACATCTGAACAAGCCTGAATGTTATAACCACTATAGCCAACAACTAACAATTCAAAATGATTAAACATCATATAGACAGGGTTCTGCATATTACAGTAAAATAGATAATATAATACTCTCCATCTTAACAGATCAAGTTCCCAAAACCAGGTGGGAAACTGAGGGAAACCAGTTATTTTTAGCATTAGACTTACATCTTTGCATTTGTTTACTATATTCAGACATATTGTCGGGTCTAATTGAGCGAAGAAATTTTATGTACTCATCACTGTGGTATTTCGTCATTTCTTCTGCTGTAGCTTTGTGGGGCCGCTGGAGAAGAAACAGATTGAATTTGATCTGAGACAGAATAAAAAGCAGTAGCATTTCAAGTACTTCAAACAGATTTGATCAGGCATGCGTTAAGTTGAAACTTGCTGAAATATTCTAAAATATTTCAGCTTTGGCTCAACGACACATTATAAACAGAAAACACTTTGTTGTATATATTTTACTGTAACCATATAATGTTTTCCATCCAGTAGATATCTGAACACCAAATGCTTGTGAATTTTGTTTCCTTATGTGGCATTTTCACAGGTACTCATAGGTTTCATAGAATCATACAATTGTAGGGACCCTGAGGATCATTTAGTCCAACCCCCTGCAATGCAGGAATATACAGCTCTCCTGTATGAGGATTAAATCTGCAACCTTGGCATTATCAGCACCATACTCTGACCATCTGACCCAGGCTCAGTTTGCGTTCTTCTTTGGAAGAAAAATGTTATCTCAGAATCAGCCAGAGGATTTTCCACAACAAAGAAAGTGTTGAAGTGAATTAAAAATCTTAGGAAAATATCGTCTCTTCACTGCTCATCAACTTTCAAGTGACAAAACTGTAAATGTATACTCACATAAATTTCCATTTTTCTGTACAAGCCATAATTTAGCAACAAGTTGTGTGTCATGCGAATCCTGTGAGGCTTCATTGGGTGCCCCTGTCCATAATAATAGTTCCCAATATCACCTAAAAGAAAGCAAATGAGTCATGCTTGAAAATGTAATGATCACTTTTTCTGGCTTTACTTAACTAAGTTATCTCTCTAGAACAGGGATTCACAATACAAACACTAGTCGTAACGGCAGGCTGCCTTCCTGCTTTGGTGAGTATTCCTAAAGTAAGACTGTGCCTTCCCTTTGCATCTCAAGAGGATGTAGGGAAGAAACATAGTTCTGCTTCCTGTTGAGTCTGTTCCATTTGTAAATTGAGTCCCCTGCTGCTATGGGAAAGCACCCCTTGGTTTAAGAACGCTTTGGTTTAAGGGACGTCTGGAACGGATTAAGTTCGTAAACCAAGGTACCACCATACTGTAATGTACTCTATATGAGGCTGCCCTGGGGTCTTGTTCAAAAGCTCCAGTTGGTGTTGAATGCAACAGTCAGAGTGCTTTAAGGGGGCATCTGGCTGAGAATATGTGACATCAAAGCTTTTATTCAGATAGAACTCAGTTCCAGCATCTCTTAGGTGGGCGCCATTGCCATTATAAGAGAATGGGGGAGTTGTTCATGGTGAGTTCTGGCACTATGTGACATTAATGTTAAAACAGCTGCATTGGTTACCCAGCTACTACTGAGTCTGGTTCATGGTCCTTGTATAAAGTGATTAATGTACAAAGGGCTTGTACAAAACAACTTAGTGCAGGATACCTCAGGCACTGCCTGAACCATTACATGCTAGAGCTGGGTGATATATTGATATATAGTCCAAAACTATTTTGAAGTTCACATTGTGGTAATTGTTTCATAATATCTGAGCTGGCAATATATTGCAAATCACAATGTGTGTAAGGGCTAGGCGATATCTGGTTTTCAACACTGCAATAACTCACCAGCTAAACACTGCAATGTTATCACCAGCTAAACACTGCAATCTACCACAATGTCTGAAATAAGGATGGAACTATACAGAGGCAAACAAGGCAATGTCCTGGCAACTGCTACTACTTAGGGGTCTTAAACTTAAATGACAATATGATTTATCATCACAGACTCAGTTTCATCAGCAGACAAGCCAAAATGCATCCCCAAAGAACTTTTGGTTTGGGGCTTGGCTACCAAATGGTGGCATTCAGAACAATCCAAAGTACAGCCACCGTCTCCTGCTGCCACCACAAGGCCTCGCAGGCCACCATTACTGCCACCGCCATGACAAGGCTTTGCAGGCTGTCACTGCTTTTACCACTGCCACAAGGCCATCACTACAAGTTCTCACAGGCTGCAGCTGCTTCTGCCCACTGCCGTGGCAAGGCTTCACAGGCTGCTGTTGATTCTGCTGCTGCCAAGCTACTGGCGCCTCTGCCGCCTAGTAGGCCTGCTGGCAGTCCCAGATTATTTGTATTCACTATGACTCATCACCAAATTTTGGATTGTCCCGAATACAAGCCCAAAACCGAAAGTCTCATTTGGATGTATTTTGGGTTGCCTGCTGCTGAAAGTGACAATGAGGTGATTGATAATATCATTTATCAGTTTTAGACCATTAAGTAGTAGCAGTTGCCAGGACACTGTTCTGCTCACCTCTGAGTAGTTCCTTCCTTTTTTCAGATATAGTGATATATAACATTATTGAAAAGCAGTTATCGCCCAGCCCTGTTACATGCCAGCTTGATCACTGAGATCTTCTGCAGGAGTGTGGTTGGTTGTTCTTCAAGCTGGCAAGGCTCATTTGATTAGCACTCAAATAAATGGCTCTGAAGAAAAGAGTTTGCTATTTGCCCACTATCATCTACAGGAAGACCCACAAAAGACTTGCCACAAGTCCGGGGGTTCCCCCCCTTAAAGCAATGAATCATGACATCCTTAGCAGTATAGAGCAATGGATTCTGGGCAGTCTTCCACCAGGAGACAAGGACTCTCTTGCCCAAGAAAGTGGCAAAAAAGCAACTCTCTGCAGCACTCTACTTCTTGCAGACAAGGGAGAAGTTAAGCACCCCCATCCAATTTATTTGAAGAGAGCTTTTGAGTCCCCGACTGAAGTGCACCTGTATAGTGCTGTCCCAAGAACACCACAGATGAGGAACTTGTGGCATTGCTATCAGGGGAGCTATAAACACACACTCTTAAAAGAAAACAGAATAATCACTTAGAAAATAGAGGAGGAAATATACTGAGCTAAGTAATGTTATACCTAGAAAAATGATGCCTACGCTTATATTTGGACTTATATGCCTACACTTATATTTAATATCTGAAGTCAAATATTTGGACTTCCGTTTAACAAGATTAATGACAAGCACAACAATTAAATACATTATTTAATGTATGAAAATCAGCATGCATTCTCCCTGTATTCTTGCAAAGTACTGGACATACAACAAGATTTTAACGCTATCCTTTGCCTATAAACACCAAATCTCAGTTCACAAACAGCTCTCCCTACTAAGGACTATTTTCTCCTCTGTTGAAAACTAAACAAAGAAGAGTGAGCAACAAAGAAGGCTGCTGCAACCACCATTCTGCCTTTCTTGGCAGCATTTTATAAATTTATACTAGGCTGAAAAGCTTCTGTCTCTGCAAAGCAGATTAACTGCACTACAGTCAAACTTTGAAATGCACAGCTATCTACCCCAAAACTGTCTATTCAGAGTGTGCAAAGTACTGAGGATATCCTTTCTTCACCCAGCTCCCACTGAGCATAACTATCAGATTCCCCAATTTTATCCATTCTCTCAGTGAAAAGAATCACTTAATTGGTGGTTATATATGTAATATGATCTAAGCATATTTGCTTAAGAATCATTTCCCAAGTAGATGCATTTAGGACTGAAATCCTATTCTAATTATTATAGCTAGCATATTGATGGCAAGACAGAATCTCAAACTAGGATGTGCTCTCCCAAGCCCACATTCTGAGCATGTTCATACTCCTGTCTCAGGGAAATGTGAAAGTATGATGATTCGTAATTGTATAGTATTCTTTGTTTCTCAATGTGAAATTTTTATTGTATTTTTGATAATGGTTTTGGGGTTTTTTGGAACCTGCAAACTGTTTAGAAATTTCTGTTGCTATGATAAATTAAAATAAATAAACATAAAATATGAAACAATTTTATTAACCATTAAAATTAATTTAATAACTGCAGAGGTAGCAAGCTACTGAAACCCAGCAACTGGAGCTTGGGGGCTGAAAGGGAAAAACTACTGCCCTCATTCACCACTTCTGGGTTTCCTGGAAACATCTGCTGACAAATTGTACCCCAGGATGCTACAATATGTAGCTTTTTAGACTGACCCTGCAGTGTTCATTTTAAAATGAACTTAATAAGAACTTTAAAATGAGCTTATGAAGACACAATAATTAAATTAAAAGGCTGAAAGCAAGAGAGAAAGCATGTTTTAATTGTCTGTGCCCAAGAAAGATTTTAAACGGCTGTTTGAAGTTTTTATCTTTTTTATTTTTAATCTTCCATCCCTCTAGATAAAGTGCTGGCTGCAAACGTGAAGCTAACATATGCTGCCATGAGAGAGGAATGAATGCATTCTGATAAGAAGCCAGGGGACTCAGGCGTAAAGCAAAGACTGTAAAATTTTGAGGAATGAGAATTATTAATAAGACCAAGAACACTCGGTATGGCAAAAATACAGTTAGATACCCCATTTACTGTTGGCATCGTGCAGCAACTGCTGTATGTGCAACTGAAAGAGCTCAGAGTTGGGATGCATAAATTGGTGAATGAAAATGGACCAGAGAAAAATAAGGCTAAAGGCAGCACACAACCTTTGGAAAATAATATTGGAGGACTACCAGAACAGGAGAGTGGAATGGTAAAACTGAAGCAGTAGATGGTGAAATGGAGAGGACCTCCAAATAGGTGCCTGGAGGAGTGAAACCGTCCAACGGTGGAATTATGAAGTTGGAAGAGTGGAATGAAACCATGGATGGAGAGATTAAGAAATATTCTGGGCTGGCAGAGATAGAGCTGAGAAAGGATTCTGTATACAATTTTGAGTGAATTAAGAGAGGAAAACTATCAAGCCTCTGGAAAAAGAATGGAAGAAGTGATTATGAAAAGAATCTCTTTGTTCTAAATCAGGATGGAAAATCACAGCCGACAGGAAATGAGATTGGAATACAGTGGTACCTCGGGCTACATACGCTTCAGGTTACAGACTCCGCTAACCCAGAAATAGTACCTCGGGTTAAGAACTTTGCTTCAGGATGAGAACAGAAATCACACGGCGGCGGCGTGGCAGGGCCCATTAGCTAAAGTGGTCTTCAGGTTAAGAACAGTTTCAGGTTAAGAACGGACCTCCGGAATGAATTAAGTACGTAACCAGAGGTACCACTGTATATGGAACTGGGTGTGAATTGATGAATATACAATGTGGAAATAACTATGGATTGCTGTTTTGATGTATGACAACAGCAAATAGACTCCTGTGTAAATGAAGACAAAGGATTTATTGTTTTTCAACACTGGAGGCAAAGTTGTTTTGCTGGACTGCAGGAAGACTACTGTTGACATTTATTGATATTAATAACTGGAGAAGCTCTTTTAGACTTGTGTGGAAGGAAAAATGAATGAACTTGAGATGCCTGGATTTGAAGACTGGGAAAATATCACATAGCAGAAAGAGGAACAGCTGGATATCATCTTGGAATAAATATTTTGGATATTTTGAATAATATTTATATGCATAACTATTGGAAGTCCTTTTTATTTCTTCTTTTTTATTATTATATTCTTATATTTTGGTTTCTCTTTTCTACATTTTTTTGCTTTGCTCTTGCTCTTGCTCATGCACATGAAGGTGATGGGTGGTTGGTGAAAGACCCTGTGTTAGAGGCAGAAAATGGAAGATCTCCCGGGGGGGAGGAGAGAAGAAAGGGAAACTCCCAGGTGGGTCCACCCCTTTTTGTGTGAGACAACGGTTACGATCTACCCTGGAGAGACGACTTTGCACGGTGATAATGATGGTTTTCTCTTTCTTTTTTTGTTTTTATTTAGATTAGTCTGTTTTTATTGTACAGTGGTACCTTGGGTTAAGAACTTTATGCGTTCCGGAGGTCCATTCTTAAACTGAAACTGTTCTTAACCTGAAGCACCACTTTAGCTAATGGGGCCTCCCGCTGCCGCTGGAGCACAATTACTGTTCTCATCCTGAAGCAAAGTTCTTAACCTGAGGTACTATTTCTGGGTTAGCGGAGTCTGTAACCTGAAGCATCTGTAACCCGAGGTACCACTGTATTGTATTATAAAAAACCTTTTATAAAATTTTGTTGAAATAATAATGAACCATAATAATTTAATTAATCCCAGCAAACATATTTCTGCACAATAAAGAATCTATTTGTGAGGTTGTAATCTTTTCTGTGTACTTGATTTCATCTTAAAATAACTGCAGTCAGTTTTAAACTTGCCTGCTGATGTGTGACCAATAATTGCCCCCAAAGTATAATGAATGGCATTTCCCTATTCCTCAATGTTGAGCTATCCAGATTTTTGCAGTCATTAACAAACTGCAGATTAATTCAACCTCCTACTCTAAACCCATTTAATTCAGATGACATTTCCACCACCACCGGATCCAGTGGGATCAACTTCTCTAGGAGGTCCCTAACATTTTTGAATTGAGGAAAACTGTGTATCCCTGCAAGTGTATACTGTCCACCTTACTAGAGCCACAGTGCCAACAAATAAAGGATGTATTGGAAAAAACATTTCTGGAGTCTCCAGTGCAAGATGCCATTTTAAAGTTAATTTTGTGTTAAATTGATGTGAAAATGCCCCTAAAGAAGAAGAAGAAGAAGAAGAGTTTGGATTTGATATCCCGCCTTTCACTCCCCTTCAGGAGTCTCAAAGCGGCTAACATTCTCCTTTCCCTTCCTCCCCCACAACAAACACTCTGTGAGGTGAGTGGAGCTGAGAGACTTCAAAGAAGTGTGACTGGCCCAAGGTCACCCAGCAGCTGCATGTGGAGGAGCGGAGACGCGAACCCGGTTCCCCAGATTACGAGTCTATCGCTCTTAACCACTACACCGCACTGGCTCCTAATGATGAGTGAGCAGAAAAATCAGAGTGACACTATCACTACTTCTTTAAACAGCACCCATAGGCAAACATTCTACCAGAAATAGGTAACATTCACAACTTTCAAGTCTTTATCACTATACAAGTTAAGTAACCTAGAACAATCCTTATTTCCAATGCAAAAAAGTCAAGATTTCACACATGCCAGACCAGAGATTTGTTGCTTTAAACAATCCAACATATTCAAGTTTTGAGAATCAATATACGTACTTTAGGAAAAAATTACAAAAAACATTAGTTTTTTGGAGAATGGTACAAATACAACAACCTCTTGGTTTCTCTCTCTCTCTCTCTCTCTCTCACACACACACACAATAGGCTGGATGCTTCAATTTCTTGTATTATTTTCAATAGATGCATGTTCTGCTGTCTATTTGTGGATAGCCTGGTAAAGCAAAATAAAGTTCCCCTGCAATGTCCTTACACCTGCAGTTTGTAAGGATAAGAGCAAATAAACTGAGAATAAAACTTAACAGCTGAAATATGCAACCTATTTTTTGCTAAGTGGTTGAGAAATAAAGTCTTGCTTTAAATTAGTGGTTGCTTTTACTTAAGTGCCCAGGAAGATGCACTCTGTTCAAAACATTTACATGTTGCATTTGAAGTTTAATACAGTGGTACACCCGTTTTCGAACATCTCGGAAGTTAAACATTTTGGTTTTTGAACGTGGGAAACCTGGAAGTAAATGCTTGTTTTCGAACATGCCTCGGAAGTTGAACGGCTTCCGCTGAGTTTTTTCCCCAATTTTCTCTATTAAATTTGCAGACCACCCTTTGCGCCTCAGTTTTTGAATGTTTCTTGAACGGTCTTCCAGAATGGATTATGTTCGAAAACCAAGGTACCACTGCAAATGTTTGCCTTATACCCATGGGCTGTCCTGCACCCGCATTGTGCTTCTTATGGCTGTAGTAATTCATTTCTACTAAATTTCACAAAGAGTAGAATCTTCACTTTTCTACATTATCTCCACTCCACTACATAATTTTAAATCTTTACCATTCTTTTAACTACTATGTACAGTGTTCAAAACAATACGCCTATATCCAGGATATAAACCCCTAACTACAATGAAAATAACCATTTCCTGAATTAGTGATGAGGTTCCAATGGATAGTGGGGACAACCTGTATTCACCAGGGTGAGGTGCGCAAGAAAGATGCTCTATGGAGCTATGAGGACGCGATAGGCAGGCCATTCATCCAGATCCTTCCAGTGGGGCTCTCAGCTTTGGCCAGAGCGTGCCAGTCTCGCACCTTTCAGGGATTCAACGTTGAGGCCTTCAGAGTCTCAACGCAACGCAGTTACTCGCGCGCGCAAGTCCCACTCTAAGGACGCTTAGCAGGAAAAAAATCGCGAGGCCAGCCTCGGATCCCCCCTCTCAAAATGGGGACCCTTCCCAGGAGGTTTGTTGCTAGGCCGAGCCGGGCGCGCACCCCTCGCCCCCTTTTGCAAAGCGTTCGTTAGTAGATGCGCGCGGATTTCGAAGGAGGCGAAAAGGCTCGCCCGATACAAAAATTAAAGGGGGTGGGGGGGGTGTAGATGCGCTTTAAGAAACCAGGGGCTCAGCACCTTCCTTCCAAGCCAGATGCAGCCCCTGCAGACACAATGGGTAAAAGCGAGAGAGGAGGAGGGGGGAGGGCTGGAGAGGCGGCGCGTGCGCCGGAACGAGAAGGCGCGCGAGGACAGCCGAGGGGGCCGGGGCGCGCGAGGACGGAGCCAACCAACATTCCCAACGGCGAAATAAGCGCGGCCTGGAGGGGAAGGCGCGCGGAGACGAACAGCTGCTCTTGCTCGCACACGCACCCCAACCGACACACAAAACACAACAAAAACCGGCGCCGTGCCCCGCCCCCCTCACCGTCATAGTAGTAACAGACTTTCTTCTTGCCGCCTCCCTGGCTGTACGCCATGAGACTTGTCTGAGGGGAAACCCGGGGCCGGGCGAGACTAGGCTTGAAGGGGCCGGGATTTACGTCGACGGTGGCGGCGGCAGCAACAGCAGCAGCAGGGACGCCGGAGCCGGGGGCAGCCTCAGGAAGACCCGGTCCCGCCTCTTCCAGCAGCGACTGGTGCCACCCGGAGGAACCACCCTGAAACGGGGGGAGTGAGAGAGACAAAATTATCTAGCGCCCCCCTTTCGCAGTCACGGAAGTTCTCTTTCGGCTTTGAACCGCTCTGTAACGCGTTGCCCCGTTCCCGTGGGTGCTTCGGATTGTAAGTTGCTAAGGCTTCCGGTTAATGGGAGGAAACGTAGAGCGGTCAGCCCCTCCCCCCCGGGCAGAGTCGCAATGGTACAGGCCATTCTGGTCAGACTCTCTGCAGAGCGCGTGCGCAGAAGCATCTGCTCTGTTCTTGCTTGTATGGGCTATGACCACGAGAGTGTTGGCTCCGCCCCTACTCCTTTCTTCTCAGGCCTCCACCAAAAAACCCCCACAACCCCCTCTCGCTTTTACTAGTAGACATTTCACAATGTCTGAAATATGATGGAGTGATACAGAGGCGAACAGGGCAATGCCCTGGCAACTGCTACTACTTAGAGGTCTAAAATGGATAAATGACAATATTATCAATCGTCACACAGTCAGTTTCATCAGCAGGCAAGCCAAAATGCATCCCAACAGGACTTTTGGTTTGGGGCTTGGCCACGTGTGACGATTGATAATATTGTCATTTATCCATTTTAGACCTCTAAGTAGTAGCAGTTGCCAGGACATTGCCCTGTTCTCCTCTGTGGGCGGTGCTGTGGGTTAAACCACAGAGCCTAGGGCTTGCCGATCAGAAGGTTGGTGGTTTGAGTCCCTGCAACGGGGTGAGCTCCCATTGCTCGGTCCCAGCTCCTGACCACCTAGCAGTTCGAAAGCACGTCAACGTGCAAGTAGATAAATAGGTACCGCTCCGGCAGGAAGGTAAACAGCGTTTCCGTGTGCTGCTCTGGAAGCTGTATGCCAGCTCCCTCCAATAAAGCGAGATGAGCTCCGCAACCCCAGAGTCGTCCGTGACTGGACCTAATGGTCAGGGGTCCCTTTACCTTTACCAAATGGTGGTATTTAGGACAATCCAAAGTACAGTGATCAGTCATAGAGAATACAGTGGTACCTCGGGTTACATACGCTTCAGGTCACATACACTTCAGGTTACAGACTCCACTAACCCAGAAATAGTACCTCGAGTTAAGAACTTTACTTCAGGATGAGAACAGAAATCATGCAGCAGTGGCACAGCGGCAGCAGGAGGCCCCATTAGCTAAAGTGGTGCTTCAGGTCAAGAACAGTTTCAGGTTAAGAACGGACCTCCAGAATGAATTAAGGTCTTAACCCGAGGTACCACTGTACAAATAATCTGGGACTGCTAGACTGCCAGCAGGCCTGCTAGTAAGCAGAAGCAGCAGTGGCAGAAACAACTTGCCGTGACTGTGGTACATGTCAGCAGTAGCAGCGACAACCTGCAGGGCTGAGATGGTGGCAGTAAGGGCAGCATCCTGTGAGGCCTCATGGTGGTGATAGGGAGTGATGGCACCCTGCAAGGCTTCACAATGGTGACGGGAGATTGTGGACGACTTTTAGTTGCAAAAGGGTTCTTCTCTTCCTACCCTTTGGCTTTGGGGCACGTAAGAAGAAGATAGTTGTGGAGTGAAGTGAGCAACAGATACCTTAGATGAGTTTCATGTTGACTAAAGAACAGCTTAGGTAAAGGTGAAGGGACCCCTGACCATTAGGTCCAGTCGTGGACGACTCTGGGGTTGCGGCGCTCATCTCGCTTTATCAGCCGAGGGAGCCGGCGTACAGCTTCCGGGTCATGTGGCCAGCATGACTAAGCCGCTTCTAGCGAACCAGAGCAGAGCACGGAAATGACGTTTACCGTCCCGCCAGAGGGGTACCTATTTATCTACTTGCACTTTGACGTGCTTTCGAACTGCTAGGTTGGCAGGAGCTGGGACCGAGCAATGAGAGCTCATCCCGTCGCGGGGATTCAAACCGCCAACCTTCTGATCGGCAAGCCCTAGGTTCTGTGGTTTAACCCACAGCGCCAACAGCTTAACCCTTGCAAATAATTACCCACCAATGTTGTTCAAGCAAGTGGCTGCCTTGCTGTGTGGCCAGCCATTTTAGGGCAGGCTCCATTCGACTGTTTGGCCTGGCCAAAATTGTGTCTTTCCGAGCCAGCCAGGGCACCCTGGACTGAATGGCACCTAGGATGCATATGTGGGTATCTATAGGTTACTTTTATTTCATTATTATCATTTTGCTATTTATGTCTACAATGAAAGGCATTGACCCTGACACAATCTAATTCTTAGCATTGGTGTGACACACTTTACACACCTGTGAATAAATGCAGTGGGGCTTACATATGAGTAAATGAGTGTTGTATACTAATAAGACTTGAGAAAGGAACTAAAGCTTGTCTCAAGCTGTTCAAAATATTTCCCCCAAATCTTTAATAGTGCAATGAAAAGAAGCATGCAAATACCTACAGTGAGTGATAAAGGGGTGTGACATAATACGTTTATTTTTAAATTCTAGGAATGTATATAAAATAATGTATCTAAAAGAAAGATTTATAGAATGTATTTAAAAGAGCCCTCAGGTAGTGAGTTTTTTAAAAAATATTTGTGTGTAATTCTGTAATACTTACAATTACATTAGATTTATAGAATGTATCTAAAAGAGCCCTCAGGTGGTGAGTTTTTTAAAAAATATTTGTGTGTAATTCTGTAATTCTTACAAATACGGAGAAACAAACATTCTATTGGATATCATAAATAGCAGTAAGAGAAGTCTACAGGGAGATTTCCGTGGCTTAACTAAGAGGGGGGCAGCTCCCCCCATCCAGTAAATAAATAAAAATACAGATAGCTTGGTTCTGTCCCTCTAGCATATATCTTGCCCCCCCCCCCAAATCCTAGCTACGCCCATGATGGCAACTAAAAAGTAATTAACAATAATGGTGTTCTGTGATTAGAGCAAGGCTGGGAGAGTGAGTCTGGCCCCTGAAACAATTTTACCCTGCCTTTTCAGGCACTGGCCAAGTTTTATCTAGAGTAAAAAGTTTTAATACCATGTTTTTGTTTTAACTTTTTAATTTTTATCATTTTGTATGTCCAGCTGTGCCTGGGCACATATGCCTTTTATTATTATATTATTTATTACTAGGTTGCACCAACTTTATTGTGGCACTTGACCATTTGTATGAATAAAAATGATTAGAACACATCAGAAGCATTCCAGAAGAAAGTCAGACCAAGGTTGACTTGACCCCGCTAGGGAATGAATGATTGTTGGGGTGCCACTGCAGACATGGTTCCCAGATCCACAGTATGCCCCATCTCATGTACCAGTCTACTGTGGAAGCAGCAACTTGGCCACACATTCTTGAAGAAACTCCATGTTTACCTCATAACATGTAATTTTGCCCTTAGCCATGCTATAGTGCCTCCTAATCTTTTATTGTTGGCATCTGTCTGTCTTGAATGACAATGGTGTGCAGTTCTGGGGATGAAGTCAAACTGCAGGAGAGTCTTTTTGGCCTGGCAGGCCAGACTCTTATCCTTCTCCCAACCCCCAGTGGCCAATTTTGACAGGTGGGACAACCCACCAGTCAATCATCTGACAAAATGACGGTGCCAGATGATTGACACATGTCAAAGTCCCCTGTGCAGTGCTTCCCAAATGTTTGACAGCCAGCTGGAAGCACCATGCAAATGCTTTGCAAAGCCTTAGGAAATGCTGAGCACAGGGCTGGTAAAAGTGCTTTGTGCAGTGGTTTTCCAGTACCCACAAACACCCAGCTGTTGGGCATTTGTTGGGCAGCCAGCTGTTTGCCAGGTGCTTGGGAATCAATGCGCAGCAAGACTCTTCAAAATCCCCTTTACGCAAATCCCACCTTTACCTGTCCCATACCTTATGTCAGGTGTAGGGCAGGATGCATGGCATGCCTGAAATGACTTCACAGGCCAAGTGGTTGGGTTTGGTGGACTGAAGGTTTTCCGTTTCTAATTTAATGCAAGCGCCAAAGTCTTCACACTATTCATCTTTTGAGAGGAGATGGCAATGCAATGCTATTTTTAACTTTTCCAAAAAGATGAGGGAAGAGAACTTAACACATTTCATTTATTTCATAAAATTTATATACCTCTTAATTGTAGGGAAAAAACCCTCAAAGCAGTTTTTGCTTGAAGCCTTTGGGGAAAATAAAGAAGAATTTCTTCATCCTTTGAAGTATATAAAGACAAGGTCAGTTTTTGTTCAAGTAGTTTCTTCCCAACCTTTGAAAATTTAAGTGCTTTCTAAATCTAGCAGATACCTAATGGAATAAAATGGCATAATTTTTTGTTTAAGTGATAGATTAATCTTAACAATTTAGATTAATGGTTAGGATTGATGTTATTAATTTTAACCCTGTGTAATCAGAAGGAAATCCTACTGACTTCAATGGGGCTTTGTGGCGTTTGCCCTCCTAGGTGTGTGACATCATACTGGGTTCATAAGGAAAGGGTTAACTAATTGTAAAACGACCAACCTATAGGAACCCAAGGGAGGAGTTAGAGTTAGAGTTGTTAAGATGTCAGTCTGGAGTTAGAGAAGAGAGAGGGAGGATAAGTCTGTGGGTTGGACTAGTCTGATGTGAGAGAGTGGAGAATCTGTTAAGAGGAGTCAGTCAAACAGTTGAGATAATCAGTCAGAAGGTATTAGGAAGGTATAGGCCGGTAAAGAAACGAAGGTTAAGAAACTGACAAGAAAATTATCTGAGAAACCATAAACTAGTTAATGCTTATAAAATAAACTTGTTTATTTGGTTTAATTTTAACAACTGTCTGGACTCAGTATGTACCCGAGAGTAATGGATTGGTGGCAGCGGGGAAGCGAGCACAGTGGTGGCACAGAGATCAATAGACCGTCAAATGTCCGGGGACCCTGTGTGATTGCCACAGGCTTATTCCCAGGTAAGTGCGGTTAGTACTGCAGCCTACGGTCTGATATTGGTCAACATCTGCCTCTGGCAAATCTTTAAGCTGTGAGAGCACAGCAGGGAAAACACAGCACACAACAAAGAAAATTTTAGCAAATTGAAGCAAAATAAATGTTGGCTTCTTTCAGGGTACTCCTTTCCATATTGGTATACGAAAGGAACCTAATTTTGAGCTGATTCAACTGTTCCTTCTTAATGCAACAGGATTTCTTCGAATTATGAGGTTGGAACACACCTTAGAATTCATCTAGTCCAACTCTC